AACCATGTTCAAAATGTATGTAGCAGTCTCCACTGCATATCCCCAAAACGGATCAGGTAATTGAGCGAAATTCATCATAGACCGAACCATGTCTAACAGAGTTTTATTTCTTCTTTCTGATACACCATTCTGATGAGGGATACCAGGGGCTGAGAGTTGAGACGTTATTCCATGTTCTATCATATAGTCCTGAAATCTTAAGTCCATATACTCTCCATCTTGATCTAATCGAAGTGCTTTAATAGTTTTACCTAATAGATTCTCAACCTCAGTCTTATACTCTCTGAATTTTTCAAGAGCTTCAGACTTGTGATGCATCAGGTAAAGATAGTCATACCTTGAATAATTATCAATAAAACTGATGAAATATTCATACCCTCCTCGTGCTTTGACATTCATTGGACCACAGAGATCTGTATGCACGAGTTCTAAGGTTTCATTGGCTCTATAACCTTTTTTGGAAAACAATCGTTTAGTCATTTTACCCTCAAGACAAGACTCACATGGAGGTAAAAAGTTGTCTTCTAACTCATTTAGAAGTCCTCTTTTAACCAATCTCTTAATCCTATTTAGATTAATGTGGCCTAGTCTTAAGTGTCAAAGATAGGTATTAGGAGAAATCTTTTGTCGTTTATTTTGAGTTTCAGCTGTTTTAAACATCTCGGTATTTAAAATATCTTTTGTTTCACTCGGTTTTGACATATATAAGTTATTTTCTAGTTTTGCATAACAAATATGAATACCTCTTTTGCAAATGAACACTTCATTGATTTCAAAAGATTTTTTTATACAATTTTTCTAATAAACAAGAGATAGATATTACATTTCTTTTCATTTCAGGAACAAAAAGTACATTATCTAATATAATGAATCTATCTCCAAAAAAATAATTTTAAATTTCCTATTGATCTTGATGAGACAACCTCTCTTGTTCCAACCTTGAGTGTTATCACGCCGTCCGCAAGCATTCACTAGGAGCTAGTTTCCTGGTAAAAAGAACAAATATGATTAGTGGCCCATGAATCTAGTATCCAAGTTGAGTTGTCATACTCTACTAAACATATTTCTACAACGAGTAAATCATATTTACCTTATTGTGTCTTTTCGGCTTTTTTCTCTGCAAGGTATTTTGGGCAATTTCTCTTCTTGTGCCCGTTTTCTTTGCAATGGAAACATTTTCCTTTATTTGTTTTTGAACATTGTGTTTGAGGTCAGTAGGAATCTTATTTTTCCCCTTACTCTTATTCTTTATTAAAACAGTTTTAGAAGTTGAAGGTCCGGACTTATTTTGGGATGACGATCCTCGTAGTAATTTATATTAAAACAGTTTTAGAAGTTGAAGGTCCGGACTTATTTTGGGATGACGATCCTCGTAGTAATTTATTAGAGATAACAACATTTGCTTCTCCTCTTTGTCCCTTGTTCGTTAAGAGGGACTGATAAGTCTGTAGCTCATTGAGAAGAGCAGTCAAGTTATATTCTATCTTGTTCATCATCACATTTGTGCGAAACTAGAAGAAGCTCTTCGGAAGAGACTCCATGATAAAACTGACTTGACTCTTCTCATCAATGACATCTCCATTTTCTTCTGCCACATTGAAATGAACCATGATGTCCAGGACATGTTCTCTAACTAAGGTCCCTTCTTTCATACGGCAGTTGTAAATGTATTTTATGGCGTCATGTCTAAGGGAGAAGGACGGTTGTCCAAACATCAATTTTCAGAGATTCCCTAATCTCTTTAGTAGTACCCATGACATCGTGTTTCTTAGCCAAAACATCAGATAGGCTGGCTAAAATGTACACTCGGGCTTTGTCATTTTCCTTTGTCCATCTGTCATATGCATCCCGAACTGTTCGGTTTGCATTTGAGCTGGGGTTTGGAGGACATTCCTCAGTTAAAACAAACCTT